TGTCCCTTAGGATTCAGTGTCTCCCCTAGACAGACACTTGATCTGTCATGAGGTTCTCTGCTTAGTAGTTCTCCCCTTATGCGGAGCCCACTACAGAATCTTCCCTATGTGGTGCTTCCTCCTGTACGTCCATAAGTTGATCTTCACGTTTTAGCTCCCCTCCATAGTGTTCTTTCTGCCACCAGGGGAATGGATGCTTTCCCAGCATTAACTACCAAGACTTTCAGACGTTACTTATTCTGTTTTCCTAACAAAATGAGGCTGAGGTGACCTCCAACTTCTTGGCGGCTCTCCCAGATGTTGGAGAGCGAGGTCATAAGTCTTGGGGGTTGGAAGGTTACGAGGAGGAGAGGTGCATTTGGTTGTGACACGCTGGCTTGTCAACATCTGTGAGTGAAAATAGCTGCACGGCGTAACTTATAAATTTATTAGGCAGTCTATTAGCGAAAGTGGTTTTCTCCCTGTAATCAGATCATGTACATAACGGTAAATGTATGAAGTAAAAAAAATTATCATCCAAGTATTATCATCCAAAGTAAAGGTATTAAAACATACATATCTACTGAATCCTTATTAAACAACGTATCATTATTTTTAAATTATCATTGTAATTTAAACAAATTAATTTATTACATACACTGAAAAATTCACAGTGAGCCACTGACATTTTACTCCTTATAACTATGATTGTTTTGACATTACTTTCACGGCTGACTACTTTAATATCTCTGATGCTGCAGCACAATGAATGCTGTGTGACCCATGTGATGCCATTCTTCCATGTTTAGAAAATCGCTGTTTGAGGTTTTATCATCCAACCCGGAAGGAAGGAGCTCTTCAGAAAATCTGTAAGAATGATGTCTGTCAGTGTGCCGAAGGTAGTATATTTAATTGTAAAAATAATTCTAAAAAACTGCAAAGAAGACATACAAAGATAATCAACAGCAGGTTAATTTCTCTCTCCGTTGCTGAAACAGAAAACTGCAGTCTTCAAAAGAAGGAGAAAATTCTTGAGGCTCACCGTAATAAGAAAGCCTGTGAACCTAAAATAAATTACGGTAATTTATTACATGTGTGTGTGCATGTTTTGGTGCAATGAGTGAGAATGTTTTCAATTTTTTTTCTATATAATTATTAGTTAATGTGGCAATCAGTAAGATACTACATCAATCTAATCCTTTTTTACAGTTTATAAAGCTTTAGTTTTGAGAGAACATGAGGATGCCTTAACGGTCAATTACGATATGAGGATTGAACTTGCCCTCAAAACAGGTATATCTCCTCACTCCAACCACAGTATGTAAACAATTGTAAATTCTGTCCATTTAATGCTCTGCTTATTTCAGCAGTAAGATGTAAAGTGATTTACAGATGTTCTGCTGATAACTTGTATAAATTTAATCCATACAAAAAAAAGCTAATCACGTCTGCTCTGAATGGTTTTATCAGACACTTGTGATTTTTTTATTTTTTTTTATGTTGTATCAGTACTAACTCAGTGCCTCAGAGAAAGGGAGAGAAATTCAAACATGTCACATGTCATAAATAAATTTGTGTAGGTCCAGAAATCGATGTGGAGGGGAAGCAGCGTACTTTCTCCTTACAGATCTCTTGCAAAGAAGCTTTGGATCTGAAGCAAGGTGAGAGCTATCTGGTCATGGGCCAGGCTGATGATGTCCAACTAGAGGGCAGAATGTAAGTGCATTTGACCTGGGATCCAAAGTGTGTGTGTCCTGATATGAGAATGTGCATCTGTATTGATAAGAGAGCTTGAAATATGAAACACTTTTTTAATAGTCAAATGTATACAAACCGTCTCTTTTAAATAGTTATATTTGCTGCTTACATGCTGGTATGGTGTAGGATTAACTTTGAAACATTTTTTTCACAGATAAATTGCTAGAAATAATTACAAAGACATTGAATCAAACACATTTTAAAGTAAAAAGACTGAAGTAGTATTTTCTTGTAAAACATACTCTATTAACCTTTTTATTTACAACTTTGAATCATTCTTTACAGTGCTGTAAAGCAGATAACACTGACTTTTGCAAATATGCCTCGTTCTATAATAAACCACTTTTGCCCGTTTACACCTTAGTTTGTCATGTAAGCCCCTCTTTGACATGCACTTCCTCTGATGTCTCCTCAGCGGTCAGTATGCTCTGGGCGAGAGGACGTGGTTGGAGTTTTGGCCCAGCTTGGAGCAGAGCAAGACTAGCACTGAACTCAGAGAAAAATACAACGGCATGTTGAGTCTCCAGCAGGATCTGCGCTTCGGCTGCAGCTAATTAGTCAAATGCCAGACTATTGCTTTGAGATGCTCATTGACTAAATGAAATGTTATAAAACAGAAAATCAGTGTCACTTCATTTACAACTTTAAATGTATGTTAAACATGAGTTATGAGTTAATTTTGACTGTTGCTTTTTTAGTAATTATCCTGTTACTCAGCGATTAATCAATGTATACCTAAGCATGACTTGTTTACACACCACCATTCCAAAAGCAGTGTTGTGACACACACGTCTAAGCAAATATCCATAATAAATATGGTCAAGCAAGATCATTTGTTCTGATCATCCCCTTATTCACTATCCAAAACAACAAACTTTTAGAAGGTACTGATTTCTTATTGATGCGGAAATGCAATTTTTGAATACTTTTTACTTCAGAGTAACCTTGTTGTGCAAGTTCAATTTTCCAACAATTCAAGTTCAGCAGGATGTAAAATTAAAATCAAATAAATGTAAACAAAATAGCACCCTTCTTTTTGGAGAGAAATGTGCATTTGAGTATAGCGCAGCACATCAGACTGTAGTTCATCACCTCATAGTGACACTGAGCACAAATAATACTGGTATAGAAAGGTCAGAAAGTCAATTGTGCTCAAGTGCTCTTTTTTTGCTGTTTTTCTGCAAAATAAAGGGGGGGGAAATTCCATTAGGCCAACATGTTTGACATCAGTCACATTTTTGTTGTGAAGCTGTACAGTTCATCAAAGTTTGCATTCTTGACAGTCAGCAGTATGTAAATTCTAAGGGAGGTTGTCTACATTTATGCCTGCACTCATCCTCCAAAGATCCACAGGTAAAACACTTGATTTGTTGGTTTTGTGTTTTATTTATTTTTTATTCTCTCTTTTTGTTTAAAAAATGAGCAGTGAGACTATCACAGCTGAAGACGCACCTGTTCTGCAACCAACTTGAACTACAAATACAATTGAGGGCACTTCTTATGAAAATGCTGCTGTAAAAATGTTTCTTTCACTTTTCTGCACTTTCACTTCTGTACTTTTAGCATACTCTTGAAACATTGCGGTACTGCGAGTACTGTTGGCCCTTGCATAATATTGCATTTGATGTTTCACATTTTTAGCTGCTTTCTGCTAAATGAATAAATGTAAATGCAATTATCCCTATTGCTTAGATGCTGAATAAAACTTTGGTTCTGTTTTAATTCAAATAAGGGGTCCTAAAAACTGAAACATTAACTGAATCTGACACGTGTTGTTCAGGTTTTGGGTTGATGGTGAGCCAAATGATGATAATGGAATGGAAGACTGCACTGAACTGAGGCCTGCAAAATCTGTCTTGAACAACTGGAATGATCTGCCATGCTCACTGAATAGAAAAGGGGTTTGTGAAAGTTCCACCCCTAAATTTTGTGATATTTCATGATGTGTTCACTTTTATGTTACAGACAATAATAAAACAATAATAAAACATTATAAATAAAACTATAATAAAACATTTTATGCAATCGTGCCATGTCACTGCCAGCTGATTTCATAAATCTCCATCATGATATCCATTTTGTTTTATTATTGTCTGTAATGTACAAAATGTGGATGTACAGATTAAATTTGTTAGAAGGTAACTGTACTGTACTCACAATATACAGTTTTTCATATAGTGAATAAGGGTATTTTTTCACATTTATATCAGCTATTATATGTATTCATATACTATCTTAGTAAATAAATGGCAGAACACTGACCTCTACATATACACCGAGTAAATGCCTGTGTGAATATCCTGTTGCCACCCATTTTTGTAAACATGTAAACTGAAACATGAAGGCATCTTTTGAAGGCATTTTTCCTACCATAATCCTCTCTGTCCCAGCTTAAAAACATAATTTATTCCCTTCCAGTTTATTGCCATCAATACAAAGGTCCAGTAAGGCCTGTTTAAGGGTGTTTGAGTCTGTATGCAGAGAGTTTCAAAGTACTCTGTGTCTAAACTAATGAAGCCACTTCCTGTTTAGGGTTAGTCCTATATTTAAAAGACAAATGAATATGTGCCATTCAACCACAACTCATCTGTGAACACATGCTGTCAGACATAAGAGCGAACAATGGAATTAGAAGCCATTTATGAAAATATTGAAAATGAAGATATGAAGGACACGTGTGCACCACAAATACAGAGCCGCTGCGAGGATGAAGGAAAAGCTCGAAAGCAAAGTAAGCAGAAAGTTTAATTTGAAGCAGAAATGGAAATGAGGAATGATATACAGTCATTTCAATCTTCTTAAAAAAAAAAAAACAACAGTAAGTGTTTCTGCTTATTTTAACTTTTCAGCATATGTTCTTATTTGCCTACATTTATTGTTGAAATGTCGCCGTCATTATCAAAGAATATAAATTTTTGTGGAATTGTATATTATGCAAAGACAGAGGTGGATTTGAGCTTTTATATATACAGGTGCATCTCAATAAATTAGAATGTCGTGGAAAAGTTCATTTATTTCAGTAATTCAACTCAAATTAAATAAATTTAATGCACACAGACTGAAGTAGTTTAAGTCTTTGGTTCTTTTAATTGTGATGATTTTGGCTCACATTTAACAAAAACCCACCAATTTACTATCTCAACAAATTAGAATATGGGTGACATGCCAATCAGCTAATCAACTCAAAACACCTGCAAAGGTTTCCTGAGCCTTCAAAATGGTCTCTCAGTTTGGTTCACTAGGCTATGATCTAATGATTGAAAAACACCAACTGCAGAACAACTTCAGCTCTTTGAGTCAGAAGAAACTGGAGCTGGAGACCAGAGTCGCTTCTCTGAGTGAGGAACTGAAGAGAAAAGTTTCTAAAGGAGGTTAGTATAAATGTGCTTTTGTATAAGTAGTCCCCCCCCCCATAGATTTCATTATCTTTTTATATATAGAGTTTTAAAAAGTTTGTTTCTATTAGGAAATCAGTGTAGTCTAGGTGGCTTGTTCATATCCTCTGAGTTGAAGAGCTGGTCTGACGGCAGACAGTACATACTGCTGCACATCACCATCAGAACAGAGAGAGACCTGATAACGATTTACAAGAACATGTTTGAAGAGTTCAAGCAAACCATCAACAGCTTACAGGACAATTACACTGATCTAATGATTGAAAAACTCCAACAGCAGGACATCTTCAGCTCTTTGAGTCAGAAGACCAGAGTCGATCTCATTGCTGAGATAAGCCAGTTAGAGACCAGAGTCAAAGATCTCACTGATGAGAAAGACCAGTTACAGAGAGATTTTGACTCTTTGAATAAGAAGGGCCCAGTTTGTTTTTTCGTGTCCTCTGAGTTGAAGAGCTGGTCTGACAGCAGACAGTACTGCAGGGATCGTGGTGCTGATCTGGTCATTGTCAACACTGAAGAGAAGCAAGTGAGTTCAGTGGCAAATGCAACTAGTTCAAGACAATTCTTTTGTGAATTAACATATATTTCAAAACAAGTAATAATAATTTAAAAAAAAACCTCACCAAAGTCTCATATTTAATCTTTATAACACTGCTTGAAAAGTCAGTGCCCACAATAATATATATATATATATATATATATATATATATACAGGTATATGTATATTTAATTTGTTCTTATCCATTATAAGGTCATCTGAGATTAGTTTTAATTGACTGCCAGATTACAAAGAAGAAGACCAATGTAATGGAGATTCTCACTCTTTTCTTATTTTAAACACACACAGAGGTTCATATCTTCATTAGTCAAGGAAAGTGTGTGGATTGGTTTGTCAGACACAGAGAAAGAAGGCAACATGAAATGGGTGGATAATTCACCACTGAAACAAGGGTAAGTGATAAGAGCTTTTCACACTTAAAAATAGGGTCATTCTAAACCCCGGGTTAACACGTTTTACACTGCTCGTAATTTACCCGGCTTATTAATTAATTTCGTGAAGACATTTCACACTGTACATTCCTAAACCCCAGGTTAACTATTTAACATATTTACTGTGTTAATGGCACGCAACCTGTTTATGTAAAAGCTCTAGCATTGCATATTCTCATATTATAGCCTATATTGCGACTGTATTATGAAGATTTACCTGCAGTCTTTTCGGATTATAAGTGTAAGAAGAAAACAATTTTTAACGCAAATTCACGTGCTTTTTGTCACAATTTTTTCCCTCAAACGGATTTTAATTGAGACGTATCTTTGCCCGGGTTTAAAAGCAGGCTTTATAACGATGATAATTCGGAGTTAAACGCAGTGTGAAAAGCTCTGAACACTCTACAGCTGTGAAACTTTTGCATTTGTTTCGTTTTTTATATACGAGAGTGAGTGAGTGAGTGCTGTATCTGTTCAGGAACTGAAACTGCTTGTATGTAATTCAGGTTTTGGGAAAGTAATGAGCCGAATGACGCAGGTGGAAATGAAGACTGTATTGAACTGAATCCTGCAAAATCTGTCCTGAACAACTGGAATGATATCCCATGCTCAGCAACAAGAAAATGGATCTGTGAGAATTAGTGTGACAGGTTTAGCGTTTTGGATGTTTGCTTATATATTTGTTTACATCTCAAAGGTTAATATCCTTGGTGTTGCATTACCGCCATCTTCTGGAGCTATAGTTAATTCCCATGTAAATCAAATTTTCATTCCTTTCCTGCTCCTACTGCAATCCAGTATATTCTTTACTCCACTCCCTGATTATTCTCTCCATGTGTTTTACCCTGACCATCCTTTGTAATTAATATTTTGTGCAATAAACAAGTACATGTTCTACAGTCTCAGGTTTTTGGCAATGATGACAAAGTCCTGCTGGGTGTTTCCCTAATATGAAGTGTATATATAACTTATGTCCTATTCTTAATCTGGATAAAGTTGTATCCTATTTTTCCCTTTACTTTCCACTGTCAGCTCTTTTTTTTCAATGAATATAGATTTCTTCCTTTTAGCTCTTGATCCCAGCTCTGCTGTCGTTTTTTATACTTGTTCCCCATGCAATACTCTTTCCTTCTGATCTTCAAAGGCTGATACATGCATCTATACTCTCCTTTTCAGTGCTTGCTTAGCTATTTTGTCTACATTTTCATTTCCTAAAATACCAATCTGCGCTGGAACCCACATAAATACAATTTCGTAACCTTTATTTTTTATTCTTGAATAAACAGACGTTATCTGCGTCGTGTCATTGAGCACACCTGTGTGGCTCACAGTGATTGAGGCGCGTCGGGTCTCCTTGGTTATAAAAACGCACGCCTTGCATTGCATGGCTCATGCTCACGCTCTGTGGGCTGTACAAGTCGTTATCAGCTTCTGTCTTCTTTCCCTCTTTCCTGGTGATTTATTGGTCCTTCTCATAGCGTAAGTCACAGTCTAAATGTGTTTGCCATTAGGGGTGCGTGTGTCTAGTGGCGCGCGCTATTCGCATGAAGTCTGCTGTAGTGTACAGTAGAGTACTGTTAAAAATTGCCTGTAAATTAACAGCAATTTCTTAAACGGCAAAATATTGCCCATAATGCATTGTTTTCTACAGTACATTACTGTTTTAATGGAAAACAGCATGTTACTGTCAGATTTGGTCGTCTTTTGTGCTTTTGCATTAAACTAATACTATTGTATTTTGGTTTATTGAAGTGGTATGAACTATTTCTAATATTATTAATGGCGATGTAATTTTGTTTTGATTGTGTTTTTATGTGTATCTTTTTTTTCCCTTTGTATTTTAAGTTTCTTTGCCAGTGTATCAACCCACATGTAAATGTCTGATGACCAGTGATATTGAAGCTTAAAGGAGTCATCGGATGCAAAATTCACTTTTGTTGTTGTTTGAACATAAATGTGTGTTGGCAGTGTGTGTACACATCCACCCTATAATGATAAAAATCCACCCAGTGCTGTTCTGAGATTCCGAATATAGCAGTCGTCATTTACTCCCGACATCTGAGCCGCTGAAGGAGGATTAACGTTACTTTAGTTTTGAAGTGAAAGTGCCGATCCTCAATCTGCCTAAATGCATCTGTTCGCGCGAATCATTCGTGATCCAGCTTCATCTACATGAAGTGAGTATAAGGTTTTTTTTTTATGAATCTTTGCAAATCGCCTTTCCTAATAACGTGCTAGTTAGCAAGTTCTGTGGCTAAAGTAAACAGTATCATTAGAACGGCTCGTCACCCACGGAAGAGAGGGGTGGGGTCAGCAGAGCTCGTTAGCATTTAAAGCAACATGGACTAGAACCGCGTGCTGAAAACAGAGCTGATTTTGACAGGGTAAAAAGGGTGTTTTTTACACTACCAATGAGAAATTTGAACCAAAGTATGTTATAGACTTTTCATTAAGAACCTAAAGAATCATATCAACTTGTGGAAAATGGGCATCCGATGACCCCTTTAACAGAAGGGGAGTTTTTATTTTTTATTTTATTATTATTGTTATTTTTTTTGTCAATTGCTTTAAGAAATTGTGGTCACTGATTATTTGCTGTGTGATTTGTCCCTGCTGCTAATGTTGGATTTATCATGGTCTCTTACTAGCTGTGGGTATTTAATTGATAAGCTGTTGAAGAGATTTATTTTTTTTAGAATGATTTTATAGATTAACGATTATTGTTGTGAAATAAATTTGCATTGTTTTGGGAAGTCATGTCTCTGTCTTCAATCAATTCGAATCAGCTGGGTCCTTCATATTATTGTAACCACATTGGGTTTAATTTCTTTCTTTTTTTATTTTATTTTATTATATTTTTTATTCTATTGTCCTGGGTGGTGAAAGAACCTAGGTGGCGTAGTTGGGCTTCTTAACATTCTTTGCCAAGTGTTATAATCTTGTCGTAGACGGCAGGATTGCATTTGGTGTAAAGCAGAGGCGTGACTTGTGTGAATTGTGTTTGTTTGACTTGGAAACAGCAGCTAGCATGAAAGTATATTGCTCTGCACCTGCTTCTCTCTCTCTCTCTCTCTCTCTCTCACTCTCTCACTCAGCAATTGTGAGACCTGGTGACTCAGGCTGATAACGAATGTTTGTGTCAAGAACGACCCGAGGTTCAGGCAAGTCCCGGTGTGGCGCCATTTGAGGCTAATGATGTGGGGCAGCGTCTGATATGGGCCCAAGGTTTTCCGCCAGTGGTTATGTTCCTAGGGAGAGGAAATGTTTTTAGAGGCCGCACCCAAATTTCTGACCGATTGATTAAAGAAGTCTAGTATGCGTGCTCGTTATTTAGCTAGTGTTCTTAACTTTCTTAGCCAAGGGTTACTTAAGCCTCCACTAGTTTAATAAAATAATGCAAAGTCATTATATATATTTTTTTGTTTGTTTTTTTGCACAAATAAATAAAGGACATTTCATTACAGTGGATACATGAATGAATAGTTCTGCAAGGATTATTATGGATCCTTGCAGATCCTTATGCATAATTATGGATTATAATATATAATAATTAATATTAATGTGTGTGGGGTTACAAAAATATACATAAATCATGTAAGCAATTTCATTTTATATATATATATATATATATAAACCAGTCTGTGCCTAAGAAATGAATTTCAGGAAGGGCTGTTAGTTTCTAAGTTCATAAGTCTTCACCTTCCTTTGCTTGGTACTAGAGGTCTTCTTCTAGAGGTGTCTGGCAGTTTTCCTACCAGCCTTATCTGATAGCGTTGGTGTTATGTTCCCTCCTCAATCTAGGGGTTCAGGGAGGGAGTAACAAAAAGAAAACATAAAAATGGGAAATTCCCCAAAGGGAAAAATTTTAAGAAATAAACGTGGAGAAATCTCCTTTTCTTCTATCCCAGCTCTAGTAAACCTCACACCTATTCACTTGTATAAATAAAGAACATTCATATGTTATTACACTAATCATAAATTAAATAATTATGATATTCTATAGGGATGCTGCTTGATCGGGGATGCTTCTCCAACATCAGTGTCATGGGAACACACTGCAGTTTTTTTGGGAAACGTTTTGGGAAAAGAAACGTTATCAGCACAATGGTATAAAACTATACGTCTTGTCTATTACCACCCACTGCCACTTATACCAATGACGGAAATAAGCACAGTTAGAATAGCTAATTATTGCGTGTGTGTGTTGTATTGATGTGAATTAATGTTAGACCGTAAACGCTATGGGATGCGAGACAATTTTTGTAAGAAATTCCAAAAATAAAGTGAAATTGAATTGAATTGAGTATTGTATTGCAATAGGTAGCACTTTAAAGGGGTCATATGATGCGATTTCAATTTTTCCTTTCCCTTTGGAGTGTTACAAACTCTTGGTGGGATGAAGCGGAGTCCAGCCCGGGGTCGTCACATGTCCTTCTGGATGCTCCTTCGTCAAAATAGCCGGCCGCACCGTTCTCAAGCCCACCGCCTCTGCTCACTCTAACCCACCCGCCGTTCCTCACGCTAGCCCCAGTAGGGCTTGTTGTTTGTCATTTCTCCGATCACAAATGCAGACATGGTTTTATGTTTACGCGGCGCGATGCAACGCAACACGTAAAAAGCCAGTATAAGTCATTATAATCCATAATTATGTCCCCACTGGATGCAACGAATGCCTCGTTTATAATGGGTTTTAATGTTTTTGAATCATCGCTCCGGCTGGACAGGGCATCATCACAGTATGGTGAGGGGCGTAACATTTCCGTCACACGCTTGAGGTATTCGGCCAATCACAACGCACTGGATAGCTGGCCAATCACAGCACACCTCTGAACATAAAGGATCTTTATAATAATCTTTATTTCATTTATATCTTTCCCAAATTG